AGCTSCACTGAATATATCAGTGATAGATCCACAGATAGCATGACTGAAGATAGTTGGAAGAAGATGGAGTTTTTCATGAGGAAAATGAATCTAGTAATGTTAAAGAAGCACAACTAAAAAGACACAAAACAATTGTTACCAATGTAATATGAATAAAAATAATCATTGTTTCTCTGCATTTGGAGAGAAGATTTGCTTTTTCAGCCTGGTGTGTTATCATTATATCATGCCCGTTCTAAGGAAAAAAACCTCAAAAAAAATTATTAGGAAGACATAGAACAGGACACCTACAGTCCATTTTTATGAGCCTGGGAATACCAGACCACTGATGTGGTGTTGCTGCTCATGGACGATAACATAGGTGGATATTGTGTCTACCTCAAGGATATTAACCTGCCACCAGTCCTAGGAAAAAAAATGTAAAAATCTCACACAGCATTCAGTTGGTAATGAACTCAGTGACAATTAATGTCAGAGTAAATACTAATAGGTAGCAAATTATTTGATAGATATTCTCTATCAAGCTTTACTTGCTCATGAGGTTTTGAAGATAAAAGCATCTTCTCTAGTAGCAGTAGATTTGTCCAAGGTGCTTCATTTTAGAAATGCCAATGGGCAGTATTTTCAAAAGCTGCAAATTCAGTGGCTCCCAAACTGCCCCACCTTCATGGTAAAGACRATTTATCACTGAATGGATCTATTTCAGTCCAGGTCACATAAAATAACAGAATAGAACAGAATACAGATGGTTTACTCTCCCTTCTGCACCTTAAACTGCAGTGCTCTGAATGCAGGCAGGCATTGATAATGCTTAGATTATGGGAAGGTGTTTAGGACCCAATGGTTTTCAAAGCTGGGCTGTGTTGATATAGCACTAACATATACAAACAATAGGCAGTGAGTTCACTGAAAACCAAGTTTGCTAAGTCAGATTTTTCCATAAATTATCTGTACTGTTTACAATACAGCAATGCTGCTATAATTTTCACCTGTAACCACAACTTTCCCACAAATTCAACAGCTGCTTTAGATACTCTTGGATTCTTTACATCAGGAATCATTTGAATTGTCTCATGCTCCAGAGCCACCTAATTTTCTTTTCTACAAGAATCAGCAGATTTTAGCTGTTATGACAAAACATACAGTATACATTAAGGAGTATGCTCTAAAAACAGGCTCCTGACTTCATGTTTAGTTCTCATCATAAAAAAAGCTTTGATCAAGCTTTGAATCAACTCAAAGGAATTTTGCTGTTGACCATCTGAATCAAATCAAAAACAGTCTGAAAAGAAATGGAGAGGAGGATAATAGCACTAGAATATAGACACTGTCAAGTTTGAAGCAAAACAGTGAGCAGTCTTTCGGAAGGACAAAAACAAAGATTCATGCTCAACTAAAATATCTGTTGTGGTTTGCTAAAAGGTTGTAACACTATTAACATTTTTGTAAGTTTCCAAAGCCGATATTTCCTTTTTAGGAGAAAGGAAAAGCAGAATTTGGTTCACCACAAATTTTGTAATACTTATAATAATATGTGCTCTAACACTTTCCATTTGACATGTAAGTCCAGTGTAGAGGCTCAAAAAATAAAATTTCAATTAGGAAGAATGGAAGTTTTTAGATGAAAAAATAAGCACCTRCAGCCTCCAGAATCTGGAGCTGAATTGTTTTAAGTGGAACTCATTTGATATGAGTCAGCCTTGAGTAATATTTTCAAAATGCCTCAGAACTTTACAAAAACACTTAACACTTAATTTAATTGTTCTTGGAGATTGAGACAATATCATATTTTTGTTTATTCACTATATACAGGCTAACAGGCTGTGTATTCAATGTTTAGAGACATGAGAAATGTCATGTTACCTTGTTATAATTAAGTTGCCACACGGTGTCCATGAACAGCCTTTTCCTRAAATGGAGATTTCTTAACCTCTGCTGCAGGTAGCCAAATAAAATGAGCCAACCTTCATTTCTTCTTGAGAGTAATATTTAATTTAAATTTTGCATGATCGGTGGGAAAACCTCACTACCCATTTTATGTGGCACAGTGAAAAGTTCCACAAGGAATTTTTCTGGGGCTATATGTTTCCATAACACAAATACCCTATTCCAGATGCTGAGCAACCCAATTTCTTGGTTCTGTGCACTAGATGTGTGTATAGGTCAAAGATGAAAACAAAGCAGCAGTTGGTGTACATAATATCCATTAAGTTTCAGTAACTTGACTCTTTTGGGGGAAAGGATATTAAAAGCAAATAGTTTGGGAGGCAATTCCATTTATGCAGAAGTGCAGAGAAGCCATAAAAAAGGCAGCCTTACAAGAGAGAAAAAGCAGAGAGGATATCACCAATGTGTGAAGAAACRAAATAGTGACACTGTAACTTGACAATACACTTGTAGTGAGTTCTGCTTTCAGATTCTTTCATTACAAGCTATTAAACTTGGCCTTCTCCAGCTGTAAATTTGAACTTTTTAAAAAAGGAGCTCTGGATCACATAAAAGAAATATTTGCATTCACTTATCACAAGCCAAAGAAAATTAGATCATAATAGGTTTTTATCATATTTCCCATCAAAAAAAAAAAAAAAAAAAACCCAAACAAATAAGGTACAAAAAGAAAACAAATTTTGAAGAAAAACTGAAGCACAGTAGTTGAAAATGTTAAATAGTCATATGTCCTGACATCATCAGGTGTGAATCATATTCATAACCAGTTTACAACTAAGATGACATGGATGAATTTATATATTATTTTTTGGATTCCTTGGAAACTAGTTTGACTTTATTCCCATGCTGTTTAATGATTTCTGAGAGCTACCAAAAGAATTTCTACGCAGAAATAGGGCCATAAAACAATAAATCACCCAACCACACTCCCACCCTTTGTTGCAGAAGAAGCAATAACTTCATTTACTGGTGTTTAGTCCCTATCTGCTCTCCCAAATAGAGGCTTATGAGGTGAGAGCTTCATGAGTCAGAAGATTAGGAAAAACATAAAAATTATGCCAAAAGGACAATAATAAATTACAGAATGGTAAAAATCTTATTAAAAAGAGATGAAAATCTATTGGTTCCTATCTTAACCTTGGAAGGCATGTGGTTCTTCATCTTGACTGTGAAATTTCCAGAGCTAATTTAAAACAGTTAGCAAGACAGGAACTATATGAATGAGCAAATCTCAGCTGAACTTTATGTGACCCCAACTTTTACCATATGTTAATTGTAAAATATCATCAGTTTGCTTAATAAGTTTTGTAAGTTATGAAAATATGCATGTTTTTTATTTCTGCTATTAGAATGAGAAAAAGGATGGGTCATAAATACAACTATGCCAAAAACATATTAAGMCTGGGTTATCCTGTACTTGCAGCCAATGTAAAATCCTATTTGTACTGCAGTTGCAAAACTACACCTATTACTGAAACTTCAAAACATGTATTAATTTATCATAATGTTGGGCTTCTCCTTCAAAACAAATCAGTCAGAGTAAAAAAAAAAACAAAACAAGTAGTGCCTTTTGTTTGATTTTTAAAATTCTCTTTGCAAATATTATCTTCCATTGCTCAGCTTGATACACTTTCTTCCACAGAGCAAATCTTGGTATTGCCTTAAAATTATCTCTTTCTATATGAAAAATACTCTTTTATTCTAGCTGATCTGCTACTGAGTGCTCCTGCTTGTTGCTACATTTTCAGTCAAGCCACAGTTTAGGTTTCCTTGGTCAACTAAAGCTAATGAAGAAGTTTTCAGATAAATATCATTCTGTGCATGAGAAACTCCATCTGGTCTCCACTTGTCCACATGCAGAACAACAGCAGCTTTGTCCACTTGCACATTTTTAGTTCTGACACAATGCAGATTTTCACTTAGTTTAATTCACTACTGTAATCCCACAGCTTCACATTCACTTCTTGGCACCAATGAAGCAGTACTGTRGCTATGATCTGTCACAAACAGGTTTCCCAGTTTGTAAATGGTTCTCCCACACCAGGGAGACAGGCATGATGTCAAAACATCAAAAGCATAACATTCACTCCCTATGGACTGCACTGGTACTTGGCACTCTGTGTTGAGCAAATTTATTTGTTAATTGGGGCATTGCAGAAACTTAGAAGTCTKTGTTTGGTGTCTTTCCTGGTTTTGGTGAAGGGCACTGGCTTTTTCCTACTTCCAGTAACCCTCACTGCTGTGGAGACTAAAGGGCATCAGCAGCAGACTACTTTCTAAGATAATAAGTTGGTAATGGACAAAATCCCTGGATTTCTACCCCCAACAATTACAGTCAAATGCAATTAAACACACAGGACACTTGAAAAAGGCTTGTGTATGCTCTCTATATGCACATTTGACATTTGTGCCTGTCTAAATTTATAAAAAAAGAGATGTTTCTCATAAAAAAAAAGAACTCATCTTCCATTTAGAGATAAGGGAAGGTTCTTATGGAAGCATTAAGATCCGCTTTAAATAGTTACTCTCTTAATGCATTATTTTTAGACATTGCCTAGTGAAAGTAACATCTCATCCAAGCCTTAAGATGCATTTTTGAACTACATCCATGGAATAAGAAACAGACAACATAAAGCTGAGTAGTTCCAGATTCTAAAAAACCAGGAGAAAGCTGTAAGTGCAAAAATGAACAAATGTATGAAGTGAGTTTACAGTAACTGCTGAAAAYCCAATCCTGGGATGTGTTTTTATTAAACAAACCTGCATTCAACCACCAAAGAAAATCTCCAGACCAAATCAATTGCAATGATTTGCGGAAGAACCTTTGAACTCAAGTATGTAATCTTTGGACTCAATATGTAATGTGGAAAAGGTTATGACAAAAATAATGCTGCATCCTTAAATCTGATCCTTAGGCTAAAGCTTTCAGGGATTTTACTGTGGTCATAATATAGTTAAAGGAAAAGGCAGAAAAATGAATGAGTCACTTGGCTGAAGAAGAACAGCAGCATTGAGGTCTGAGGGCTATGTGTTAGCTCATGTCTAGCAGTATAAAATAAGTTGGAAAACAACAGCCTGTTTGAAATTTGTTTTACAATCTAGAATGTTTTCCCTCTAAAACACAAAAATTCTTTGTATAGATCTATGGCTTCTAAACTTTCTCAGGTTTGTGAAGTATCATTCCCTGATCCCACAGGAGCAGCAGATGGGTTGTCCTTGTACGAAATATGGTGTCCACCTGCACTTCATTAGAGAGCTGCATTTTTGTACATGCCACACCACAAGATCACCATGATGACAGAGCAGCTTCAGAGAACAGTGTGACTAGGGCTTTTTTTTTCCCCTCTTGTAACAGAGGATCTGGCAGACTTTTACCTCCTGACACTGTTTAGAGCATATATTGGTCGATACAGTCTCTTACTGCATCTGCTCTGGGAATTAAGGAAAGCAGCTTCAAGGCAGTAAGGTAAGTGCTACTGCATGTTTTAACTGTAATATTCAGCTATTTAAATGTAGCTGCAATGGGAGCGTGAAAACATGACAGGATAAGTTTGCCAATTTGTAAATTGAGCACAAATCAACAGTTGCTTAGTCGTTGCTTTCTCAGTTTCCTTAAAACAACTTCACATATTTTGTACAGCAGTGTTGCAATTTTTTACAGTCTGTTTTGCTCCACTTCAGAATATGATTTGATATACTGTACCAAGAAGTTTGTAAGAGTACTCACTGTCTACTTTTTCATTCATAATATTGGTGAGAGCTCCATAAACCCCATTTGTTAAATCATTTTGTTTCATTCTGCAAAAAGACAAGGAATCCTGATATTTAAATAATTAATCATCTAAACAGTGAGAGGGAAACTCTAGGTATTTTAAATTTTCTAATTAATATTATAACACATTTCAAATACACTAGTGAAACTTTAAAAAAAGATAATCTTTTGCAAACTGTGTAAGAAGTTAAGCTACAGAATTTAGGCTGATTAACTGTTAATATTATTTTTATTTTGTTTCACAATAACTTTATAATTAAGGAAGTATAGATAAGGTCAAACATAGTTTGAATAGTATGACTACTCTAATATAGGAAGCATTTTTCCAAAATCATGGATTTACCATTTAGTACATTTTGGCAAGTTGTCTGAGAAACTTCACAAATATTTTCACAGGTATTTTACAACGTAACTGTTTAGAACAGACACAGGAAATTAGTTGAAGCATGCTTATGTTGTGAGACAAATGCCTAAGAATGCATTCTGATTTTTATCTTTTTGATTCATGTAGTTCAGTGCAACAAAGAAGCATGATCTATTAACCTTTTTGCACTTCTGACAGAGAAACATTCAGATATCTGAATGAGAAATGTATAAATAAAACAAGTAAAACACATTACATGTTGTGTATGTTATTTTTTGCTATTTTATGTCATACACATGCCCATATGCCTTGTAACTACAGAATTGTCACATACGTTCTAAAACACTGTTGATAAATTAATTTAAAACACTTGCTCTCTAGCATTTTAATTACTTCCAGAGTTCTGCAGACCAGTTAAATTTTGTACACTRTTTGAAGGACTGTCAGACTATGATATCAGTATTAAAACTTAGCATTAAAAATATAATTTGAAAGTAGAAGGACAACAGAATTTGAATTTTAAATGTCTTTGCTATTTTGTGACTATAACATTAAGGAGATGTGTAAAAAATGTCACTGTAAGGCCAAAGGGTGTAGTCCAAGAAGGTCATTGCACTCTCTTTTATACTTTGCATACAGAAACTCTAGATTTCCTTTCTTTAATGTTAAGTACCTAAATAGAATGAGCTGTGCTTAGTTATACCAGCAGAGGACTAAAAGTTGAGCTCATGTCCATGTTGCATGTTCTCATGCAGCAATGAAAAACAGGCAAAGAAAATTGATGATTATCCTGGGGTTTGTAATTAGATAAATGTGATGGGGCCAGCACCATGGAGAAGATTTGCAATAATATTCCTTTTTTCAGGGGACAGCAGTCCAATATGTTGCAGTGGGACTTTAAGGGTTATTGAGTGGAGGTGACATAAGAACATTTTTAAAAAATTCTTTATGATCACTGCATGAGATCAATAGGCTCTGCCTAGAGGTACTTTAAATGAGATTGGTATCTCACTAGAATGTGATGTGGCTTTTATCAAGTCAATGGAAGCAAAGACATTTGGAATTAGGGAAAGCTTTGTAGCTATGGCCCTGCACTTTAAGTCCCCTGTGTAACACTAAACARTGCCAAGAGCTAAACTAAGTTACTCTGCTGGAAGATTGCCCAGATGAGATCAATGTCTTGTGGTCTGTTTACAGTCTTCACATACTTTCTGAAATAACTTGAGAAAAAAAAAATGTTTTAAGGATTTTCTTAATTCTCTCATTATCTGGACATCAGTTGAGAACTTGGAGTCTTGTCTTTTACTGGTGAAAATCAAAGTAAGCTCACTGACTTTACTGATTCTAGACCTACTTTCCAGCAGAACATCTATGTAGCCATTAAGAGGCATAAACAAGATACTACTCTTCACAGATTAATTGGTGTCTTGTGGATTATCCTGTGAGAAAGGAATGGCCTTAAAAAGTTAAGTGACATCATTCWTACAGGATCACAAACATCCCCAAGGACATTCAGTGTCATTTTGCTGYATGTGAACTGAAAGACTGAGTGAAGCCAGTGTTTTATTGTTCAATGGATTTAAAATGGGCATACAATGTAATCAACACGTCTGCTGTACAGAGAATCTGTAAGAACATTTTCATTACCTGAAATTCAGTCATTCCAGACTTGCTGTCAGACTCAGTCATTTCAGGTGCATTGCACACATATGGGGTACTGCTTGTTTGGCATGTTAAAGTTAATGTGCTTTATCTCTCTATTACTTTGTTAAATGACTATGAAACTTAGTGGACCATGCTTTACTGCACATAATCCACAAGAAAAAGATTTTTCAAGATACACATCTTAAGAAAACACAATGCATCAGAGCATAGCCCTCAATTTTAACTTCCCTGTCTCTTTCAAATAGCCACATTTTAGATTTAATACAATTCAGCACATTAGGAATGCTTGATGGAATTTAAATGACGGAACTGCCTCTGAACATGGCCTTGGGCAAAACTGAAAACTTCTGAGGCAGATTTAAAAACTTTGCATTCATCATCTTTCTTGAGACTTAATGAATAAATGCAGAAAGGCACAAAGAAATTTTGTAGCAGAATGGCCACCAATTTTGCAATAAAAAGGAAGATTATACAAGACAGGGACAGTAAATTCATAGCAGTAACCACAAAGTACAAGCAATCCAATCTTTTTTTCTGAATTAAAAACTTCTAACAAGGACCCTAACTTGTCTTTAATTATAATCTTTATCTGGTAAAATTTCAAATATTGCAGAATGAGATAAAAAATTGAAGCTGTATCTTGTTTGTCCCCTTTCACCATACAGGAACAAGACACATTAGAAAGATGACTTTGAGCTCTCTACCTATCTTTCTGCTATTGATTAGTGGCATTTTCTGCCAGTATGACTACGGTCCTGGAGATGATTATGGTTATGATCCTTTTGGGCCATCTGCAGCAGTCTGTGCCCCAGAATGTAATTGTCCTTTAAGCTACCCTACTGCCATGTATTGCGACAATCTGAAGCTGAAAACCATTCCAATTGTACCAAGTGGAATAAAATACCTTTATCTGCGAAACAATATGATTGAGGGAATTGAAGAGAATGCATTTGACAATGTAACAGACCTGCAGTGGCTGATCCTGGATCACAACCATTTGGAAAATTCAAAAATTAAGGGAAGAGTCTTCTCTAAACTAAAGAATCTGAAGAAACTCCACATTAACTACAACAATTTGACTGAAGCTGTTGGACCACTCCCCAAAACTCTAGATGACCTGCAATTAAGTCACAACAAGATCACAAAAGTCAACCCTGGTGCACTTGAGGGGCTGATGAATCTGACTGTCATTCACCTCCAGAACAACCAGCTGAAAGCAGATTCTATTTCGGGGGCTTTTAAAGGCCTGAATTCACTTTTGTATCTTGACTTAAGCTTCAATCAACTTACAAAGCTACCAACAGGACTGCCTCACTCCTTGCTCATGCTGTATTTTGATAATAACCAGATTTCCAATGTTCCTGATGAGTACTTCCAAGGTTTTAAAGCCCTGCAATATTTACGTTTATCCCACAATAAATTAACAGATTCTGGAATACCAGGTAATGTCTTCAACATCACATCACTGGTTGAGTTGGATCTCTCCTTCAATCAGCTGAAAAGCATTCCAACTGTCAGTGAGAACCTGGAAAACTTCTACCTCCAAGTCAACAAAATTAACAGTGAGTTAAATTTGCACATATTCTTTAATGTTTACCACAGACTAGATACTTATGGACAATGGAAGTGTTTGAAATGATTGATGAACCAGTTTGAAAAAATTGTACGAGTTAGACTATTAGCACACTAACACTTACCTGATTGTCATCCAGATTTATGTTAAAAGACAGATATTTAAATAGCCACTTGATGTGTCCTTAAAGAGAGAAATGTCTGGTTTCATACTAGTATGGATATTATTGCTCAAATTCTCATGTAAATTGGAATAACTATGCAGAAGACAATAGAGTTGTCTTATTCAGTTGTGGAAAAAACTGTGAAAAGCTTGATCAGTGGAAAATATATGCAGAATTCTTAAGTCAGGAAAAAAGTGACAGATTGCAGCTGAGGATCTGACTATGGTAACCTTTCAGGAGGCTGGTAGTCAAAGTGTTGGATGGAGGAAAGAGGGAGAAGGCAACTAATTCATAAGGCTTCAGGCACAAGACACAGTGAAAAAGACACCTCAGAGTACCTGAATTTGTTTCTTTCCTCCCTTGCCTCATGCCTATCTTGAAATCCAAAGAGCTTCCCCCATTCTTTCTTTTCATTCCTGTTTCCTACATTATATGATCAGGTGGCAAGCCTGTCTCCATTCACTCATTGTTTGAAAAATATTCCTTCTGAAGTCAAGAAATGCCRCACCTTTCATGAGACTATTCAGGTTTCTGCTGAGACAGGGCTTTTCCAAGGCTGTCCTATTCCTGGGCTGACAAGGAGGGGTTGCAGAGCTGGAGAGACCTCACCATCGTGTCAAGTTCTCTAGTTGCATCTCTGTCAGTGGTAGTGCCTAATGGAGTGGGAGATGTGTCAAACCTAACAGTGCTTCTGCAGGAGCATTTACATCATCTTGCTAGTTGGCATACAGTAAACTAATGTAAACTAACTATCAATGATGATTTTTAATTTCTCATGAGACATAAGAGGCCTTTTTACCTGCTTAGAATGATTGTTCTGAGCCTTCTGTAAGATACCCTGGTACCAAGCTTGCCTGATACTACTTTTTTAGGGACTTCAGACTCAAGGACTATGAAAACATTTTAGTTTTGCAAGGAAAGTTGCATTTCCAGGGAGATGGAGTGGGGAGTAAGTGTTCACCAGCTACTGCTACACTTTCATTGCTACCCTATGGACTGATGAAAAAGAACTGTGGTTTACTAGTTTTTTCTTTACTACAAATCTATCAGACTTCAATAATCAGTTTTCTCAAGTATCTAATTTCACAGGCATAATATATAGTTTCCAAAAATTCTGATTGACAATGTGGGATAAGAATTAGTTAGAAATAATCATTACGGTTTAATGAAATACCATATGTAGGGCAATCAAAGCCCTTGGATTTTGCTGTTCATGACACCTGACCTACAGCTGTGAGTGGTCAGTCTTTTGGAAAATTGAGTGAGTGTTGATCTGTAAATATTTAAGCCTCAAGCCAATGACCAGTTCCTTTGTTTGATATATTATTAAAATTTACCAGTGATTTGTGTAAGAATGACTGTAAACAAGGCCAGCTTCCTTTGCATACCATGGCCCGTGGTACACATATGCAGAAAGAGACTTCTGTTTAAGGAGTAATGATAATTTGTCCTAAAATACACAAAAGATATAATCTTTCAGCTTATGCTTATTTAGTTTGAAGTCTTCATTATACTGAAACCTAACATAAAGATGTTTCTCTGGAGTTCTTAACTTGSTCTGTCTTCCTTTTTCTCAGGTATCTTAAAGCTAGCAATTAACATTTATATTTGTCTAAGGAAAGATAATCGGGTTCCAACTTTGTTGATATTACTTAGAGAGGAAATATTTCTCTAAATTACTGTCCTTGAGTTTCACCATGAACTTGCTACAATCATTATGAACTGTCATTCATTAAAAAAAAATAAGTTTGAGAAATACCCTTACTTGAGTGACTGAGTTTTTTGAACAAGAACTGATGAATAAACTCATTAAAAATGTGTAGCAGAATTTGCTTTGCTTCACCATGTTCTGTTTGCCTCTGTGTTGCAAGAAACAGTGGGCAAAGCAGATAGCAAACTCTKAAGAAAACAAATTCAGAGTAACTCCCTTGATTTCTAACTCATAAATTGAGGCACATCCATTCCATGAAATGTAGGTATGAAATCCTCAGCTTTGTCTACTGTACTTGGTGCTGTTTGGATCTCCAAGCTAGAATAGGACCATGGAAGATTTAGAAAAGCCTTTGCTTTCTCCATACCTCAAAACTAAACTGTTGTTTCTAAACTGAAATGTCCTTTACTATTACTTATTAATGGTAATTTAAGGGTGGAATTTCCTGTTTAATAACAGCAGAGGTTTGCTACCAAGTTTTAGGATGCCATTAGTATTATATACACACATGGGCATGTACACAAACACATGCATACACAGACTTGTGTTACAGACTCCTCAAGGCAAAAAGAAGCCCCTCAGGCTGGAAGAAAATCAAAGAGTTCAGTGAAACAAGAGGGTCTGAAGACAAACKTCGCCATATTTCATTTGTACTTGTATGAGATTAAGGAGAACATTGTTGCTTCCACATGAAACCCCAGGAAGAAATAAGGTTACTTCATGTCAATGGAGTATAAAAAGGGGAAATATGACAATGTCCCAGAGGACAGTTAATGGGCTATACATTCTGCTCCAGTCTRTTGACTGGATCAGGAAATACACCCTAATTGTATTTATTCTAACCAAAATAAGTTGTGGAGGTGCTTTATAGTCTTTTAGCTGGCTCACTCAATTCCTAAAGGACTTTTTTAACATGGCCTGTCTAGAAATGTTTCACATGTGCTTACTGGACCACATACCAGCACTAACRACTATGGGACTTCAGGTCCTGTTAGGATTGCCCACTGTACTGCACACCTGAACAAGGAATCCTCTCAACTAAAAGCTTTGTCCTGATATACAAGGGATAAACTCTTGCCTAGCATGTAGTGAAAATTTCTAAAAACAAAAATTATGTCTGAAGTATATGTGTCTCTTTATTCCCTTTTTCCTCTATAGGTGTGGCAGAGGGAGAGGGAGAGGGAGAGGGAGATGCCTGTGACTGTTTTGTAGGGGTATTTTTTTCCCACATATTTCTTGTAGTTTTTTGGAATATCAGAATTTCTTATGGCAACTTTTAGTGAGAACATAATTGTTTAGATGGAAATGCAATTTTCATCCAATAGTTCTTATCCTCCCAGTGTCTGAGTCAGGAATTCTGTATTGAGAAAATATGTGGAAAAAAATCCAGGTACATTGCCTCTGARCTTGAATTTTATAAATTCAGGAAGATGTTTTCACCTACAACATTAATAAATGTAACTTATTAGTCTCATGGATTGCAGTTCCCCATTTAGATCATATAGGTAACAGCTCATCAAGTGCACTCACTTATATTTTCTACTAGTGGRGACTGCAATTAAAATGAAACTTTTTTTCATGCTTTTAACAACTGACAATTAAATAAAGAGTATAAAAAAWTAATACCCACTTTCAAACATGTAGACCAAAAATTGGAGCAAAATCCCACTAGGATCCATGGCCAAGTTCCTTTGACTCTTGTGAGGACAAGATGTCCATCCAGTTCCCATGTGTTTCTAGTCTCATAAATATTCAACACAGATGAGAATTTTGGTAACACAGTAAAATTTMATGGTTTGATTGTATGAGTTTACATCCTTTGAGTAGATAAACATCTATCCAACTTGCATAAGCATATCTTGTTTTGCAAGCCAACTTTAGTATTTATGCTCCAAAGTAACAATATGGGGGCAAAAATAAAACCCTATAAAATTAAAATTTATAAGGTTGTCCATGTTTATCATTAGAAAAAAAATATTTACTATGTCATTCCTGAATGACAAGAAGATGGAAAAAAATCTGTATTAGAATTAATGTTTATTTTAAACTTTACAAATTAAACCCAAGCTATCTGAAGAAAACTGGAACTAAACAGTCAATAATAGAGTCTACAGTCCAATAAAATGAGTTAAAATCTCAGGAACTTACGTTTTAATTCAACAAAATTCCACACAGTCATAATCTTATAAACATGTCTCAGAGTATATTATTTTAATGCACAAGAATCAATAGTTTGCTTCTGCTGTTATATTCTGAACCAGAAGAGTATCAGAATTGGTCTGAAGTCTTAAAATTTTACTGTATTACAATATGGACTGCCCAAAGGATGCCGTTCATCTCTYATCTTTCCAAAAGAGGGTTGTACACTGCACAGGAAATCTAGGAAATTACTTTGATTTGCCTTATTCAAATTGGTAAACAAGATGTGACTTTTGAATTATATTTTCTTAATCCCTATCAAAACAATTTATCTTGTGGAAGGCACACGAGTCTTATTACCTAAGGTCTTATGCTCTAAGTAGCTACCTGTTCATTTATATTTAGTTTACAAAAGACATCTTTCATCAGTGATAGAAAAATATTGTAATGCAAGTTCTGGAAGAATTCAATTAGAAGAATGTCAGTCCAGAAGTTAATGAGGGGCTATGAAAGGTGCTTCCTCCACTTCCTTTAGTACTACAATCTGAAGTAGGTGATCACATTTCCATAGATGAGTTAAGTAGCCACACAGAAAATATACATAAGGAGGTGCTTTCAGAAGTCCATGAATGACCTGTGATTGGTAATTCAAATGGCATTTGATTTTGAGAATGCTCACTTTATGTCTCAGAAATGAGATGTATGGGTCCGCTGAAGGAGTCTCCTTCAACCTTTTAAAATATCTTCTGTGTGAATTCATCTGATGTCAGTGTTCTGAAGAAGAGCAAGTCTCTCAGACTGCTTCTTTAGTAGTTATGGAGCTTTTCAATAGATTAATCCTCTGTTAGACTCAAAGGAAATACAGATGGGAATGGAGATCACCTTTGCAAAATTACACAATGTGGTATTCAGGGGGCATCAGATTTATTCACATATGTTCCTTCCTGAGGATTTTGCTCTGCATAAAAGAGGTCTGTAAAAGGTGCCTGTAAGTGCTTTGTGTGAGCAGAGAACTTCAGTGACTCATATAATTTCTAGCTTATGGTTAATACTGATCATAGGATACAAGGAAGATTTGCATTCAAGATGTTTCTGGTGTTATGCAAACAAAATAATGCTTCAATACATCATATATAGCATAATATATAAATAAAAATAAATACAAATATTTTTATGCGTATTTTTTGCATTTATGCTCACCTTCTAATCCTGATGTGGAAAAGTTCATCTGCACAATTTAAATGTCAAATTCTTCTCCAACTCTAGACTCAAATTTCATTTTGAAAAAGGCAAATCAAAATGGTAAATATAAAATACATACAAAATACACAGACACCCACTGGCTGCCTGTCCTTTAGGGTAAAGCTGCGTCATGGTATGAATTTCTCCAAAAACTTTTTGCTTCCTTCAATATCTCATGTACCAGTTTTACCCTTCCATGGTAACTTACSCTGCATGACTGATTCCTCCCATTGCATCTCCAGTTTTACTGAAGGGTGATTCTTCTTTTTATCTAAATGCCAGATTAGACTTCTATAAAATCTGAAGTCTAAAAGACAAATTAGTACAGGGAGCAAATAGCATTTGAAAAAGTCAGTTTTGAAATTCTGACCCTCTCACAACCAATGAAAAGAACCTCTCCCAACAGAAGTCTCTCAAGTTGCAATAAAGTTACGGGAATTTGCGTCAGTGTAAATACAAAATATTGAAAACAGTATAATAAATTATGGTCACAATTTCCAACCGTTTTGTTTTTTTTTTTAAAGCAGAAAAATAATGGTTTTGTCCTACTTTCCTAATTATTTATGTTTTCCTCTTGTTTCTCCTCTCTTTGCTTCAGAGTTCCCATTGAGCAGTTTCTGTAAGGTGGTGGGACCAACGACCTATTCCAAGATCACACATTTACGCCTGGATGGAAACAATCTGACTCGGGCTGACCTGCCACAGGAGATGTACAACTGCCTTCGGGTGGCTGCTGAGATTTCACTGGAGTGAGACACCTGGGATCAGCCAGTTCCCTTCCAGGGGCACTAACTGCAGGAATAATACACCGTGATAGTACTTTAAAATTAGGATTTGCCTTAAAGCAAGAGTCAATCTTCATATWATCCATTCTGTTTTTAATATTTAGCATGCACTTGGCAGCCTTAAGGTAACGTGCATATTTTTACAAATGGTTCTATTTAGAAAGCAAAAGAATTACCAAATCTGGTGCAAAATATGCCTTCATCTGGCTAGGTGAGATGATGAAAAAGATTAAACTTGATAAAAATCTATATCCATGCATGTRATACATGCCAGCAGTTTCCAGACTCACAGGGAAGTCAGGTGGGTTTCATCATGGGTTATACTGAGCAGTATGGGCTGGCCTGTGTAAATACAAGATTCCTGTCCAGCTTTTCTAATTGTCAAGATTTTTCTAYGTTGTTATCCATTACAAAGGAAAAAATTATTTTACAATCTACGAGCAATTTAAAATTTATGAAAATATGTGTTCATAGCCTATGACATTTTTTAAATTAATAGAATATGAGAAAGATAACAAGGAAAAAATATTCAGGTTAAAGAATTTTTTACTCTTCTTTTTGTCATACTTTCATTTAACCTTCATGGTAAGATCTTTATCCATTGCTGGTATAATTGTTATTTCAAAATAAATCATATATACAAATATTTTTACTCAATTACTTGCATGCTACTTTTAACCAGATGTAGAAAATAAAACATATCAARTAGTGTTCTTTTGTCCATATAACTGTCAACTATGTTTCTTTCTTTTATAAAATGAAAAGAACAGGTTAAGACAAGAAAATCTAAGCTATTMTATTATTATTAAAATTTATTTTAAGGTTAAATAAACTGTTTTCTCTACTTTGAAGTTTCAATATGTTTGTAAAAGTAATTTAACATGCCCCACCACACTTGTGTTGGCCAATAAGTTGATGCCTTATGAAGTTTGCAGTGTGGGTATCATGGCACAATGAAATCCTGCAAATTAGTATTTCAGTATTGTCAAAAGARCAGTGAAACTTCTCAGAACCACAGGTGGTGAGTAAAATGCAACTACACGTGGTAAAGACATGGTAGTATATTCTACSCAGGCATAAATAGTCCAAATATTGTCAGCATCCTGGAACACACTGAAATAAATGTGGTAGTAACTGAGAGCTGTAAGTGGCTTTCTTGCAAGCACAGATCTTCCCACAGGTGTTATTTTCTTTTCAAMTACTAGATTATTAAACAATCAATCAGAAAATTTGCTAGTTTCTACAGCAAAAGCAGAGACGGTCACCTCTGAATGAAATCCCAACCAATCCATACCAAATAATTTAGTCRTCATGTTGCCAATTCCAGACATTCAAAATTAAAACACAATTCACAAAAAAACCTGGGACTAAAACAAAAGGAGATATTCAGAAAACAATAGAAATATGCCCCTCCTCATTTTTTAAATTTTGTAATTCATAAATGTTACTGCTTTTTAACCCATAGCATACAGGAAGAATTGGCAATAAAATTTGTTACTAGTAGGCTAGAATTTTCATGGAAGAATGAAGTCTAAATTTGAGGCTTTCTGAACATAACAGAGCAGGAATCACTATGGAATAAAACCTAGGCACTATAACATAGAAAAAGAAGGAATTGCATGCAAAACTTCCCAAAGAAGAGAAAGATATACGGGAGACAGTATTTAACCAGTTCCAGAGAGCCTTTAACCCACCAATTCCCTTCATAGAAAWATAAACTAAACACTAGGTTTTCTAGAGCACAAACAAATAATGAGATTTGTCATCTGGTTGCTGTATTCTAATGACACAATAGAAATGTATTCTTCTTTTCAGCTTGTTTCAGGAATTGTCCTGCTACCTATTTAAAAAAAAAAAAAAAATAAAAATGAGATCTTTCTGCTGAAAAAGAGTTGGGCCACAATTCTCTCCTTTCATGCTGTTAGAAATTCAGGTTCCTGCTTTTGCACTAATGAATTGTTCTGAATCATTGTAGGGACGTTTAAGTTCCCCATCTCTACAAATCTTACAGAGACAGATAGGCAACAATAGATGTGTTCTTTACAGCTCATTTTATGAAAGCAACATAAATTATTTTCTAGACAATATGCAGAAATTTAGATGTTGGGCAATACCTGACAAAGCTAATGTCTTGGAAACTGAGTCACTATAACTTGCAATTTCTGCCCTTCCAGGGAAGGACAGTGACAGGCCTTGGTTATAAAACCCTCTATATTCCAGAAACCAGAAAACATGATGCATACCTTCCTATTTCCACTTAACTTGATCATATTATGAAATACCTGTGTTCACAGGTGAACATGTTACTTCAAAGTAGGCAACATGAACAGATAACCCAGCTGCAGTAGCATGGACGCAATGGAATGGGTAAATCAGCCTGAATTTGGGGCAACATACCATGCAATCTATAGTACTGCTGTAAAATTTACTTACCRTATGTGTTTCTCCTTCCTTCAGGTCAAAGTTGTTAAATATATCATAAAACTTTCATATGGAGTTTCATATGGAAGAACCCACAAAAATTAAGAACTTTAAGAAAGTCATGAATTTGAAGGCACACATGAAAATAAATGAAACTTTGCCACAAATACAATGAAAAGGAGTATTACAGCAACAATATATTGTGACACACAAGAGCCTTACTCATGGAATTTTAGGAACTGGTCTACAAGTGTGTTGCACAACCATTCGCAAAGGTAGATGACAAGCATTGTCTGATTTCAAGATGACAAGCGTTGTCTGATTTAAAAGATATTCTTCACATTAGGTTGAATTGCAGAAGATCCCTAGAAGGAACAGGCAGGGACACATGAATTTTTGGACTACTGGAATAATAAATCCTTCATGCCCTCTACAGCTTTATAAGTCCAGCATAGTCAAATGGGTCAAGAAAGAAATGAGCAGTTAGTTGTTGAATAGAGCTGTATTCTAGCGCAAGGAACCTGGCAAGGTCCTATTTCTACTGCAAACCTTTGGTACTAGTGAAAGGCAATAAAAGGGTAGCTGCTCAGCATGAACCAAATCATTTGGAAAACTGAGGACTAAAAGGCAAAATATCATTCAGAAGGTCAATCTGAGTTGTTATATGTACAGTTGCAATAAACATAGACTGAAGAGGGCAGAATTTTTGCGATTAAAAAGCAAAATAAAGTTTGGTGAAAAGCCACYGAGACGTCTGTTAAGAGAACTTTTCTCAGCCTTCTTTCCAGGTAATGCCAAGACTCCTCTTAGCCTCTCTAATACATTATATGTCTCAGTCTATGTCTTATGGCAGTCTTCCATAGAGTACCATAGAAAAAGTGTCTGGTTTTGGCGTGCATGGTGAAAGGGGAAGGTGGCAAAGAAAAAATTCCAGAAAGAGAAATTTGACATACAAAGAAACTTTTCCCGATGACTGCATAAAGCTCTGTCACAGATTGCCCAAAGAGGCTGAGGACTCTGCCCTTAGAAATTATCATAACTTGCATGGGCAGTGCCCTGAGGGACTGATTTCTCTTTGAAGTTAGTCTTAACTTTAGAAGGAGGTTGAACTAAACAACCTGCAGATATTTCTTCAAACTTATTTATAATTTCTGTCAATCTGTGATTTTAAGGGTACTAGTACCAATGGAGAACAATATCAATTTTAACAACTAGGTCTGCACCTGGACAGTTTAGCATGAAATTCATGCGGAAAATTTCTTGTTTTAGGTTCCAGTCCATAATTCCAACTCCCATAATACTCACAAAATCTTAACTCGGCTGGATATAGATTCCATAGGCAGAAACTGGAATCTTGCTTTTGATATTTTAGCTGGCTTGTGGAGGTCTGCTCCCATTTTGACACTTGTGATTTACTGAGTAGTGGCAGTGAAGTCAGAGAACCACCCCATCTAACTCTCCCACGTGGGACAGCACTGGCAAACATGCCACCATCCTAAGAGACAGAGTGTTCAGGGAGGACATTTTGGTTCTGATTTTTTTTTCAGATTTAGATATTGGTTTAAAGACTTTTCATCTGTAAGTAAAGAACTTGATTGGTAGGCCTTAAGGCTTTCATAARTAAATAACTCTCTTTTCTACTTTGAACAGTTTCAACATCAGTTAGCACAGACAAAGAAAAGGAGTACTAGCTGTATTTTAGGATACTCACCTTGAATGTAGAAAGATCAGGTTGAAGTACCAGGGCAAACTATMATTTCAATACGTAAAGAAAAGCAGTTTTTAGAGGCTGGAAAAATTTTTAACATTTATACTCAGATTGTGATTGTGGGCTAAACAGGAAGCAACTGCGCCCATATCTACACATGCTGGAACCATAAGAATGATCCCATTTGTTTTCTCAGAGAGTTGACTGCCTGAAGTGCCCAATGTGAGTTCAAAACGGAGACTGAATTGCTCAAGGCTGTGCCCACTGAATAACATAAAAACTTTGCTTTGCAAATTTCAGGTTTGATACTTTAAGTTGCTCRCAGTTTCATGCTTTTGTGGACCCTTAAGATTCTAGCTGCTGCTTTTTTTATTTGTTTATCCCTCCATTAATTTATAAAGGTATACTTGTATTATCAGGAGCTAAGGGGTTCAATGGGCACCAGCACATCTGAAAATGTATTTATTGCTACTCTTTAGTGTTATAAACCATGACACTTTGTGGATATAAACCCTTCCGCATATTTTGGGAGGTGAATTATCTTCCTTTTCATAATTTGAATTCTTAATCTACAGATTAGATAACAGAATATTTTAACAAGTTTTGATTACTAGAATAATTGTTTTTTAAGTTTAATCTCTCTTATGCAGTAACTCTTTGGTATAGCATACTTTTTTATTCTGAAATTGTTAAAAAAAAAAAAAAGTTGAAAAGAGAGTCTAATTAAGAAGGCAATGAAGAAATGAGGCAAATACAGGAGAGGAGAAACATTATTTATAGTCCATACAACAGTCCAGAAACAAAGGMATTTGGTTGAATACACCTGAGTTCTGAAGAAGAGGAAAGCTTTATTTTGGAAAAAGCACTACTGTTCTGACAAGAGAGGGCAAAGCAAATCCTTCTGATGAGGAAAGATGTAAAGAAACATGATATTTTTAATTTCCTCCAAGAAAGCACTCTTCGGTGATATTTTGAAGTGTCTAAATCCATTGCTATGAGATGTTTAAAAATATTTTTACATGTTCATGCAAAAAAACCCCTACATTGTTTAAAATATTTGAATTTTAGTGCATTTTCTTGCTAGAAAACTTAATTAGCTGCCTAATACTAAAGAATTTTCTGACTTTAGCCTTGTGTTCTTCATCAGATATGCAAAATCTCTCAATTCTCTTATCTCTTCACCTTTAGATTTCATCATTACAGTCATTTTTGCTGTCAAAAAAATAAACAAGAAGACTAATAATTTCTCAAAATCATGTGCAGCGTTGCATTGACTTCAAAAAAGAATTTGTGATTACATGTGCAAAAAATGAGTTTGGTTTTTTTTTTTTTTTTTTTTTTTAATTCAGGTTCCTGAGTCTGGGTAAGAAAAATTATCCCCTGCAGTATTTTTATTTCCACCCTTGGTTCAAAAGAAGGAAAGGTATGGTGTTCCTAATGAAAATCACAACCCTAACAGGAGGTATATTTTATACACTGAGTGCAGAAAGGAACTCAGGATTCACTCTGAGATTCCTGTCTGCCACCATGAAGAGCAGGGATTCATCTAAGTAAAGAGCAGGTGACRTTGAAGCCCAACTCTTTGATTGCTGAGGGCTCTGGATCACTGCAYGGTGCTTGCACAGGGATGGAGGGTGAATTCTCCCTGGAGCTGGGTT